ATATTTTACTTAAAAGAGGTTTGTTCTGCTTCACTTCGCATAACTTAAGCCTTTTGGCCAAAGGTTGCATACTATGCCACTAGGCATAAACGGTTCTAGTTCAAGTACCGCCAAGGCCTCTGATGTGACTCAGGCAAGGTAGAAATTGACTTTTTCCAATAGAAGGGAGTTAGAAGTTTTGATAGAGAGAGTGTGTGACACGATGATAGGAGGTAATTAGATGTACTAAAACAGACTTCATTTGTCTAGTTCACGAGTTGCAGCTTGGTGTTAAGAATTTAAAAGCCTCACTGACGATGGTGGAAAAACTTCTGAGAATGTAGCATATCCAAGACCTGACAATGTAACTTATCATGTAACTAAAATGTTACAATGTTACAATGTAACTACTATGACAGAGGACTTCGGACAGGCTATATTCATCTATGGCGCCTTGACAACATGACACAGTTACGCTGGCGAGGTCAACTCACTTTATAAAGAAGAACTTGAGTTAACTTTGGTAATATTAGAGCTTAGAGACTACCAGTAAATCAGTAATATGAGATGTATTCACCCTATTTTGTCTAAGGTGATGAAGGACTGGTAGTAGAATTTTCCCACAATGATTTGAGTTGAGCTGACGTTTCCATTGAATGTCACATTGCCTTGCTTTCCCAAAAGTTGTTCTCATCCAGGCACCAAATGACTGCAGTTTCGACTTCGCATCGGTCTTATCAACACCCACTTTTGGGAAAGCAAGGCAATGTGAAATTGGATGGAAACGTCAGCTCTACTCATATCATTGTGGGAAAATTCTACTACCAATCCTTCATCACCTTTCATATTACTGATTTAATGGTAGTCTCGAAACTCTACTCTAACACGAAAATAAGTAACGTAGTCGATTGCTATAGCAAATATACCCACCAAAGAATATGATATAACAACGATGCCTGATCTTCCTTGAAATTCACTTATGCCCTGTGACTCGAGGGTACTCGTGGCAGTGTAGCCGAATGGTTAGCGTGTCAAGCTACCGTCCTACACTGTCGCGGTTCGACTCCCGCTGAAGGTGTTGATAAGACCGATGCGAGGTCGAAACTGCAGTCCACCCTGGATGAGAACAACTTTTGGGAAAGCGAGGATATGTGAAATTCAATGAAAACGTCAACTCTACTCATTGTGGGAAAATTCTACTACCAGTCTTTCATCACCTTAGACGAAATAGGGTGAATACATCTCGTATAATGAAATGAAACAATTAAAATTGCCTTGGGAGTCACTAAATCTATTCACAACGTATCTAAAGGCGTGGTCATTTTCGGTGGGAAAATTGTAATTGAGAAAGGTCAGGCCTCAGTAGCCGTTCAGCGGAGTGGTAGCTTGTTTATTGCCTGTGTAGCATAGTGAGGTCAACTTATTTATAGAAGTGGGTTGACCTCGTTGTCGCGACCATATCAGAGGCCACAATATCGTGGCCTTCATATCTTCAACTTATTTAGTTGTGTAAAAATGCAACAATCACAGTCATTTTATTTTGAAACATCAAATAATTCCTCAATTTTTTTGTAAGCATATCCAGCATTATGTCAAAAGATCGTGGATAATGCTGTTCCCTAATGGTCGTAAAAGTTGAGCAAAGGGACGCACAAGGATGCAAGCAAATGCATCTTATGGTCGGGATAGCGATGACGATGTACAGCTGGGACAGTCATGCGGGCCGTTTCAAATGGAAACTAAAAGTGTGCAAATGATGGAGTGGTGTGCCCACTAGCCAAATTCCAAAAGAGGAAACTCTTTGCTACAGCAAACTTGCCCATGCCTGGGGACGTATCGACTCCGCCTGCCTGCGGGTCGTCTAGAGAGCGTCTACAAGGCGTTGAGTTGTGCGGCGTCTCGAGAACTCTGCCTGCCGGTCTGGGTCAGTTCAGCCAGTGGGCGCGCCTCGAACTAACTTCCTCGACTCTGCGGTCGAGCATCTGAAGGGTTCACTTGTAGCATAGGCGATATGAGTCTCTTTAAAGTCCTTTAGGCTATCTCCTTCTATCTCTCATTTTGACACTAATGCATGGACGCACGCAGGCCTAGACACGCAATCTCACAAGCCCGACTCTGGGCAATCAACTCTGTCAGAGCTGACATGCTTAAGTGTATCTTACCCTTCTGGTCAGATAAGCACTCAGTTCGCAGGTCCTGTCGTTAGATAGGCAGCAACTTCCTTCACTTCTCTATCACTCACTATTGCCTGACTATAGACCGGGACAAAAACCAAGCCGAGCTGTACATTGAACGACCGTTTTTTCAGTAAAACGAAAGCTCAGGTGAGTAGAAGGCACGCAGCAGTTGACAATTTCATCTATGCCTCAATAGGCCTAACCACAATTGCATACCTTATCAGATCACAACAACCAAGGGCAGCTGCTGAAAAGTTCCATCTCTTTCCTTGAAAATCCCATGTCAACTTTTGACGGTCGCCAGAGAATGTGAGGCAAATGAAAATGAATAATGGGAAAATAGCAATAAATAGTTGAATACGCTCCTCATGGACCAGGACAAAAGTCAAAACAATAGAAAGATATGAATATATGAGATGTCTGCACCCTATGTCATTTAAGGTGATGAGGGATTGGTAGTTGAATTTTCCCACAATCATATGAGTAGACCTCACGTTTCCATTCAATTCCACATAGCCTTGTTTCCCAAAAGGTATTCTCAAAGCTATGTGAAATTCAATTGAAACGTAAAGTTTGCTCACATCATTGTTGGAAAATTCAACTACCAGTCCTTCATCATTTTAAACGAAATAGAGTGAACACGTCTCATATATCTGACCTACTGGTAGTCCCAAAACCTTACTTATAGACGAAAGTTACTAGAAAAGATATATCCTGAGCGAACTAACAAAGTAACTTCCATACGAGTTCCTGTCATCTTATCCTGCATATTGTGAATTAGGACCAATAATTCAATTTGCCAACAGTGATATGAATAGGCACAATTTCATCACTTAATTTTCCGTAGTTTTAGTCCCAAGATTTAATGAATATGATAAATGTAATAACGAAAATCCCACCATAAATGAGAGATGGGAGAGGTCTGGCCTTTAATAGTCTCGTCTGCCACCTAGTGACAAAATTGTTTGATAGTAACCTGTCCAAATTTTACCCTGCATTACTCG